AAAAATTGCTTGTCAATTTAATTCGCGATTACTAGAGTAGTTTTAATTGCGTTTATTTAGTCCGGAAAAACAATTCGGCGCGCAGTTTGAAAAAAAGACTACAATATGGTATATATGCAAGTACATATATAGTATATATTAGTAATTCAAGATTGAATTATTTAAAGCAACGAAGATCCAGCTCCGACCGTAATAGGCAGTTACATTCTAGTAACGATAACTTGTTACTTTTCCTACTCGGTAACGAGTAACTGTAACTTGTTACTTTCAAAAAGTAACTTTCCATTCCCTGAAAATTATTGATTTTCTATATTGGAAATAATTCAAAAAAGCTACAATTTATCACAGGCTCTTTAATATTCAGCTGAGAGGAATTACGGCTCTCTTTAGACTTTTCCTTGGGAAGAAGAAAAATCCCTTACGCGAAAGAGTGGATTCTTGTCTGTATCAGACGGACCAGCTGTTTGTCGGGACACTGTCATTCACCATTCTTCTGTTCCTAATGCCCACAACATGGGTGTACTACACTGTATTTACTCTGGTAAGAATATCTGGTTTTAATCTTTTTAAATTCTTCCGAGATATAATTGCGGTATTATGTATAGCTTGGTTGCAGCTCAGATTAGTGTCCATCGCATTTGGTGGTTTTCTGACCAGGCTGAAGTTCTATCTACAAGTTATGCCTGTTTATACCTTTTGGAGGTGGTTGCTGCGGTCTGACTGCACTTGTAGTAAGTAGCACAAACATACATTGCATCTCGAGGAAAGATTGTAAACAAAAGAAAACTGTATAAAGTGAATTTATTTGTTCTTCACATGCAATGCACATTAGCAAAATATATCATTTTTTAAGGCTCCTGACTAGTCGCGGCGGCCATGTTGGAATCGTGTCGTCGAAGCGAGGAATGACATGTAAATTTACGCACAATGCCATTTGTAAGCAAAGACAATTTGGATGAAACGAAATGACGGGATCGCTTTAAAACACTTGTAAAAATCGATGACAACTGTCCTTTCCATCCTTAATAGTCAGTAAATGGTCGTAAAAGACTCGTAAAGTGAGCCTGTATTCTGGCAGAATATACATGGTTTCACAATTGTTGAAACGAGTTAAATATACACTTTTACGTATAAAATTCCAAGATAACTTTAGTTGTCATCGAAAATTACGACTTTGAGAAGTATGAAACAAGTCACATTTTCACAATTAACCAAATAATAAGAAAATGGCATTGTGCACAAATTTCGTCGTCAAACCTGATCAAAATGTTACTTTTATACGCCTATAATGGCGTGTGTACACGATGCTAGAAATCGGTCCGAGAAGAAAGAATTGACCAATCGCAATACCACGCCTATAACAGCCTATAATGGCGTGTGTACACGATGCTAGAAATCGGTCCGAGAAGAAAGAATTGACCATTGCGATTGGTCAATTCTTTCTTCTCGGACCGATTTCTAGCATCGTGTACACACGCCATAAGTTCGGCCATTTATCGTGGTGTGGCGCTGTAACGCACATGCAAGCACGATCCCATGTCCGTGTGCTCGCAGCAAGCACACGGACATGGGCTCGTGCTTAAGTGCGTGGCTACCGATTTCGCCAGATCGCCGTTTGATTCTGTGTCGCTACCGTCGACGCAGAGTTCTTGGCTGAGTAGTCAACAGTAGTCAAGAGTCTTAATATAATCGTCCAGCTTTGCAGCACATTTTGTAACAGCCTGCAAGTCTTTCGATTTCGTCTGTGAAGATTTTTGACTGCTTTTGAAATGACATATGCATTCTCGGCTCAATTCTTACTATTTAATTTTTCCTTGGTAATAACTCATTGTTGTCAGATAGAGTATTAATATTGCAAATAATTTTGGCAGGTATCGTTGACATCAGATTACATCCTTCCTGCACACAAGTGACAGTATTATCGATGACGATGGTTGTGGCTCCTTGGAGGCTCACATGGAAAAAATGTATTCCAGATACGATTATTTGCCATCCATCCATCGAGTGGTGCACAATATTGAATAATGTTATATGGGGCCATTTATTGTATCCGTTATAAAGAAATATTACATTAAATGTTAATATTTTTTATTTACACACTAAGACATTTTTCTTAATAAATCTTTTCCTACTATTCTGTACAGAATGTATTTAGATAAATATTACTGTACATTAAATCAAATGTCTGCTAAGATAATTCTTATGGAAAGCGTATGTACAATAAAAACCTAACAATGAATTTTGCAAAACGAATCGAGAAATACTATTTCAGATAAATAGATGTCCTATTTTGACTTAAGCTTTAGCTTCTCTTCTTCTTCCCTCTTCACTCTGCTTAATGTTTTATTCAAGTCACAATATATTAAATCATCGATATCGTTCTCCTCTCTTAAAATACAGAAATAAATTAGGAAGACAGCTAAGCTTGCCGATACAACATATCCCTGATACCATGGTCTACTATCTCCATATGGATCGCGATACTCTTCAATTCTCATAGTAGCAGCTTTTGACGTAGAATATTTTATAGGCTTATCTAAGTCATCCTCGCTTTCCAATGCTGTGCTTTGATTCCTAGAAACCACCACGTCACATCTACTTCTACTATTATGTGATATCTGCCGTACATTATATCTGCAAGAAGTAAATCTTCTTACAAATCACTATATTAAATTATTTAACAACAAATTTCAACAAATAGTCGAAATCAAGCTCTAATGAAAATAAATCAACAAGTACACTTAATACCTATAAGAGTCAATATGAAATATTCAAGTGCACATTAATTTCGTTTTATTCAATTAAGATCAGATGGATCAGATTCAATTCATAAATCTCGATTTCAATTTCGGTAATTATTCAGAATACCTCCCTCACCTCCGATTTCGATAAAATTAGGCTCATTCGACGCGTTTTTGCATGAAACGAAAGAATCTGGCAGAAAAAAG